GTACTTTTTAACGCTCGATATGTATGTCTCGTGTTATCCGTAACAACTCATATCACTATCAGTCAAAATTGCATTTTAACTGCAACTTTCAATTTCATCGATACCTGGTACTCTAGTTAAAGTTAACTACTGTTTAGGGCAAACCTGACATTGAATAACGCTGTTTGAACTTCAACTTCCGGTTAGTCTGCAATTAACTGTGAACAACTGGGTCATAGTGTCATAAAATATAGATATTGTGTCACTTTTTACTATTTATGCCAAAACTGGAGAGGAAGTATCGTAATTGAGAAAAAAATCGATATTGATATATTATGTCATTTTGATTATATATAACATGTACATCACGAAAAAGCATGGCACTCATTTCCGACGATCTTTCTGTCTATCGGTCTGTCTGCTAATTTTCACACAAGGTTACTAGTATGCCAAGGATGAAAAATATTTGTAGTTCCTTAGAATTGATGCAAAAGAAAAAAGAAAATTTGTAGGGGTTGAAATTTGAGGGTTGAGGATGGTAGCTTGTGGGGGAAAGTATATGAATTGTTTTTGAACTTAGTATATTTATATACTCCCAACCTCGGAAATTCCATACACCTATTAGCCATATTTCACACATCGGAGATTTGCCCGTACATTTGTCTTAGAAACTTAGAATGGTGGAGAAATATTTTAGATCTAGGTGCTCGTGCCTATCAAAGCGAACCGCCTGGTGGACCATAGAACCAAAAAACATACGGAGCTTGCACGAACCGAAACATAACGCTCTACAGAGATGCTGCAGAGATATGGAAAGGGACAACGTTGCCATATGGTCGGTAACTATCAGTAGGGCAGGGATAGAATTTCTGTGGACTAACTGATTGGCCCGTTTGATTGACTAAATACATTTAATTTATCTGTTTTGACATTTTTAAGTTATGTAATACGGGTGCCAGTCGGATTTTGATGAAATGTTCACACAACATTACTACTATGTCAAGGACGCTCGCCTGAGAAGCGTGTTAGCTATACTTAAAGCGTGAATCGGATCAGATATTTGAATAATAGACCATTATTTGGAGAGGAGGAGGGGTAGAGATGTGGAAATGGGAACGAAACTATCGAGTTTATTTATATGCAGATTGAATTGAGATTGATGTGAGATGGCATTCATCGGACACATGTCAACATCTGAAAGTAAAAAGAAAACTCTTTCTAAAATTGTCATTAATTTAACTATTATCGAACACATATTAGTTATTTTCAGTCCTATTCGTTCATTTTGCCTGGCACAAACTCAAATATTTCAGTCCGGCATTGTCGCAATTGCTGGTTGACGCTGTCATCACGCACCCAATAAATACCTACTTGATTATACGGCGAATTTTAACTACAACATCCTCTTTGAAAGTGTTCTAATCCTCCGCCCTTGACACCCAGGCATTATTTTGATATGTATCAGGTAAAATTTACGAGTAAGGGGCTAATGATCGTTACGGGTTAAATTGATACAGCAGCCATTTTTCACACGTTCGCTAAAAAACAAAAAGTTGGGTTTCATGCACAACAGTTCGTTTCCCAATTAACTTTATAGCGATGCTGGCGAAAGATGAAGATTGATCACAGAGCGCTGCTACTTTTATAATAGTTGCTTGATGGAGCGGTATATTTTAATCAATGGTGCTTGACGTGGTTGAAGCTCATATGATATTATTACTGTTAACACATCTCAACTCCTTCTGTAACTTGTTTGACATTAACCCTCCAGGGTTTGTTGACAAATCGAAATTCTAGATGTGGGGCAAAGCATGTCTATCCAAAATCTTGAAAATGAACTACTCGACTTGGCTACAAGTTTCGTGGGTTGATGATGACCATAAATCAGTGAATGTACCGAAATGTATACGGCAACATAATGCGTGGGATCACATGATGACCACAATCGATTGATGCATCGATTAATTAAGTAATTTTAATTTCTTAAACTGTGCATTGGAACGAAAAACTCCAAGAGACAGTTTTTAAGTAGAATCAATATGGTTTTAAGACATACTAAGTTTTTCAAAAAGAGAGATTTGCCAGCACGAACGCCACTAATGTAAATGCTTTAAAAACATTTTTGTATATGTTTGTGTGATCTGCAATGCCAAAACATCTTTTTAATTTGTTTTTTTGGAGAATGAAAGATGTACAAGTTTAAGCGCCCTGACATATGAAACCGATTATTTCCAAATCCATTCTTATATTAACTGTCTTTCATATTTTAACATGCTGAATCTGCCATTCATTCCTCCCGACAACATTCTTTAATATGCTGTATGTGTAAGACTTGTGGGGATTAGCGTCGTAGCTACAATCACTTGTAGTTGCAGGTAATACAGGTAATGTTGACCATAACCCGTTGCTCTTTAATTTTCATGCGCCGGAATATCTTCCTGAGACCATCAATTCCTGTTTCCCTCTAGACAAATTACCAAATCCGTCATTGCTTCATCCACGTCTAGATTAGTCTACGCTTCGCCTTTGGTCCGGATGTTATTATTACGTATTACGTATTAACCAAAGAGTAGGTAAGACGAATAAAATTAGAGAGGTATAAGAGATGACTCCAGAAACATGCGGTCCATAAAACAGCTGATGACGTCTAAACATCTAAACACAGCTGTTCTCATTCTATCGGTAATACTAGTAAACGCGTTGTGGTCAGATAGATAATCCTTTTTAAATGAATTTACTGTTGTGACAGCATTATTCGTTCAAATTTACTTTTGTTTAGACATTTATTCATAGTATCGATATATATCATCCATTTGCAACCTACGAAACATATTTCTCAATCAGCCAAGTTATAAATCACACTTTTCGCCGAAGAAGCCATTCTCAAAACATGTAGGTCATTACATAGTTATTCATCTTTAGAGCCCCACGCAGAATACTACACAACTTAGTTTCGTGATAAAAGAAGTACATCAGGTTGGAATTCAAAAGCTGTGTAAACTCAAATTGCTTATTTTACCAATAGTCGATATGTTTATTTCGTATGACTTTTTACGTAACCATCAAAAATCGTGAAAAGAGCTGAACTCCATTTTGCTAAGTCTAAATGTAGCGTTTCATAAATATTTTATGACAGCTTGGCAACACCGCTTAAACTCGTGATGGAGTCACTTGTTTATTGATTTACTTACTCAGGAGTATAGGAGTGTTAAAATGCTTATCTTTATATACTAAGTGACATATAAATCCGAACACCCAGTTTAAATGGTTTTATTTTAATAAAATTTTGTATAAGTACTTAATGAAGCATAATAAGTAAATGATAAAAATTTCAAAATGATTGCACTGCTTTAAAGCCCTTTGATCTTTATTAATGTGCGGATGCACCCTGATGTGCTACGCATTCTCCAACGTGCCTAGGCATGCTTCTGATCAGGTGGTCAATGTCCTCCTGTGGTATCTCATTCCAGGCAACCACCAACTCCTCTCGAAGTGCTTCTAGAGTCTGAGGAGGACGTTGCAAATTGAGCCATTTCCTACCCATCATATCCGACACGTGCTCCATTGAGGATAAGTCGGGAGATCTTGGTGGCCATGGTAACAATGTGACATCATTATGTTGAAAGAAGTCTATTGTGACTCTTGCAACATGTGGTCGGGCATTATCTTGTTGGAAAGTTGGATCTGCCAGGGTGTCAAGATAGGGTAAAAGATGGGGTTCTAGAACTTCGTGGATATAACGCTGCGCGTTCATGTTACCTCTGATGAAGATTAAAGGTGACCTGGAACCATAAGCTATAGCACCCCAAGCCATAACTCCAACAGTGTGATGAACATGTCTTTCAACAAAAAACTGTGGATTCCACCTTTCACCACGTCGCCTTCTAACCCTGGCACGACCATCGTGCATGCCTAAACAAAATCGAGACTCGTCACTAAAGACAATACTGTTCCATTCCTGATCCCAGAGTGACCGTTGTCTGCACCACTCAAGGCGATTACGTCGGTGTTCTCGAGTTAAAGGGAGGACCCAGTGTGGCCGGTATGAAAACAAGCCAAAACTTCTCATTCGTCGGTAGACACTTCGCATGCCAATAGGTCTTCCGTGTTCTGCAAACCATTCATTTGCAATGGACCTGGTAGTGGAGAAACCGTCCCTTAAGGCCAATAATCTTAGGCGGCGATCTTCACGGACTGTTGTTCTACGGCGGCGTCCAGTGCCCCTTGCTCTTTGCGTACGGCCTTCTCGAAGCCATGCCTGACAACACCTAACCACAGTGTCTACACTTCTTTGCACTCTAACTGCAATTGCCCGAAAAGAAAGTCCAGCTTCCCGAAGTCCCACTATACGGCCCCTATCAAACTCACTAAGTTGACGAAATCGTACAGGTCTCCGTACTCTAGGCATCGTAACCGATCGTAAAGGATGTCAAGAACCAAAATCCGCCAACGTTGATTCTTTACTGCGGCTGAAATATTCATTTTTAGAGCGTTAGTGAATTAAAAAAAAGCAGTATAAAAACCGGAATGTCCAACTGATAAGGCTGAAAATTTTTTCACTTGTTATTTACAGTATGATAAATGCATTCACCAACTTTTATTAAAATAAAACCATTTAAACTGGGTGTTCGGATTTATATGTCACTTAGTATAGAATTATAAGTAAATAGTAAATAAATAAACTATAGATTTTTTGGAACAAACAAGTATCGGTTAGTAAACAATGGCGTCTCTTAATGTTTTGCTGCGATTAATTCAAAACCGCTTATGGTAACGCATGGTCGGAACACTTTTTTTAATGAGTTTTTTGTAGACTAACCTTTCGGCCATTTTGCGCTAAGTACACCGATCTCGGCCATTGCGCGCTGTCTCTACCCAGTGGAAAAAGCGAGTATTAGTATTGACCTAGGTTGGGCATCTGTGAACAGAGCACTTTTGAGCCACCTCCGACATGGCGTCCCAGAATTAGTATCTAATTATTTCTTTTGATACAAATCCGTCTAATTATTATTTTCATGCAGATCCGCAACATGGACAAGCACGGTACCCGCGTGTGCCTGGACTCACCTGCAAAGCGGAGCGACTTGCACCGCCCTGCCGGGTTGTACCCGTGCCATCATCAAGGCGGCAATCAGGTAAAGTATCATTTCGGACTTTCTAACCTTGATATCGTGTGTTGCAGATTGCATTGGCCAAGAACCGAGCCGTCTGTCTGGACAGCGCCTGCAAACCAGAAGACTTGTACAAACCCGTCGGATTGTGGCCTTGCCATGGCCAAGGCGGCAATCAGGTACCACCCAACACTATACTCAACATACACATGTGTACATTTGTAACAAATAGAGATTTGATGTTTTTAAACCATATTTTTATCGTAAATATCTTGAGTGCAATGGCAATCATGTATGATAGAAATTGTTGGATGGCGTTTTCATTCGTTTCTAGGCCCTTCTCAGGTTTCTATAAACCAAAATACATACAGATTTCGCTAGCCAAATAAGCATTCCTAAATAAAACAGAAGTATGAGAAGTTTTGTTTCATTATTGTAGATTTATCCTACAATTTCTAATTTATCATAAGTAATTTATATTTTCTCAATTAACTACATCTTTGCATTTTTTCATCTTCCACTATTTTATGAATGCGTTTCCGTCCCTTAACAGGATGGCGCATATCACTATTGTTGTTACCATACTCTAAACTTCCATTTTATTCGATAGTTGTCTTTTTTATTTACTCACTGTGTTTTCAGAATTACCCAAAAAAAATTGTAGATGGACCACAAAAAACTGTCTATATCGAACGCCTTTCAACGATTGGTTTTGTTATAATGTTTGACAACCCCTCAAAGATGTCTGAGATATAAATATGGTACCGTTAAATCATGTGGGTAGCATCGGTCAGTCTGTATGGTAGAATCGACAAAATTTTCAAAACAATTTTTTATTCGTGATTCAAAAAGATATCCCATAGGTATATAAAAAAGATTTACAGACTGATCTACCATTTCCACTGGGCACTCAAGATCATCTTTCAATATGTTTATGACATGCATTAAAATTTTACTGAATCTACAAATGTCATAATTGAAATGTTCCTTATTCCTTTTGAAGATTATGTTCACTTGTATGGACTCAAGCGCTCAGTGGCAATGGTTGGTGTATGGTAGTGGTGTACATAATGTATTATTTGGACCAATAGAATTCAAAGGTAGATTTGACAAACCATATATAGTGGACAACATTTTTGAGCGTTGGCATCATAGATCTGTCAGCTTACATAAATGTTGTACATACTTATTACTGTCCATTTAAGCTTCTTATATCCAGATCCCTTTGTTAGCCATTCGAGATTTTTGGCTATTGGTATTTGCTCTTCTTGAATCAGTGTTTGGTACACTCGTGTACGTCACATAACGTCATTGGGACCTCAGAACTGTAAGGTAATATGAGATTTTTCTTCCCAGCGATTTAGGTTTTTTTACTTAGGAAACAGAATTAAAATATTGAAAGAAATATTTCATTGGGGGCTAATCATATGGTTTGCCAATCTACCTATACCCACCCGGTAATGTGTATGTCTTCTTGGTTTGCGGGCTGCTGCTTTTTTCTTTTGTTTATTTTATAATTCCAATACTAGTCCTATCCCTGTAGCTCCTTACCCTAATTGTACTTATTTATTACCCTTTAATTTACTTCAACATTCCAGGACATATTCATGTAGGTATATAACAAACACACTCTACCTTATTTGTGTATAGCATGCTCTAGGATAATGGTTACGCGTATATTTCCTGAACATTTTCTATTTTCGACAGAAGTGAACTATTATGATTTTATTTTATTATTTACCCCGTTTGTTCCGTATTTGTTGAGGTGTGTCAGTACGCTGCATTTTAAGCAGAAAGTGAGTTGGGTCTTAACTACAGTGAAAGAAATACCGCTATTGAACAGGTCAGTGTCAATTTGACATCAAATCAAATATGGTATCAGATGGACAGTGACAAATGAAATTTGACGTCCATATTAAGGATTTCATTTCCTGAATGCGGCCAATGTTTGGTGATTCGCTATTTTGGTCCGTGATTCATCAACAAAGTCTCTTATTTTCAACGTTCCCCTCCAGCTTCTTATGCTCGAATATTACGAATACACTGAGAAAAAAAAATTAATCAAACCAATTAAAATTTTAATTATGCGAATCAAAAAATTTAGTCAACTATGTGACAGCTAACAAGTTTAATTAAACAGTCCAGCTGAACTATACTTTAGCGCATATCGCAAATATTACATTTCTTATTTTAAAATCAAAGATTAGGATGTAACTTGCACGAAAATATAATTTTTTCTTGAAGGAGCCCTCTGCTTCCTATTTTATAGAACTTCAAAGTTGCATTTTGTGTGGTAATACTGTCGTATAGAATACTGCTTTATAAGCTGTTTTTTTCTTGTTTCCACAAAAGATTGCTCAAAATTATATGAATGTAACATGCAATGTAAATTACTGCAATTTTGCATTATTTTAATGATGAAAATAGTTCATTGTTAAGTAGTAATTTCTTTTATTTCAGATAAATATTCCCATGACTACACTACCATCACTATCCTACTCTCTCCAACTAGTTGCGATGTTACCAAATCGTTGATATTTATATACCCTAATTTGGTTTGTCATATTCTTATTTATATACTAGCGCAAAAATGTGCAATCGGTACAGGATTGTCATTAAAATGCGGCTTGGAGGTGTGGCCGTCAGGGTTTACTGTACTAAATCCACTTTGTGCCCTACCATGGCGTTAGCTAGACACTTTTTGAAGAATGCCTTATGCCCTTCACAAAAGTACTTCGGTTATTGTTTTTTCTATACTATAGTTATAATCTATTTACTTTTTGTATGTATGTACTTGAAGAATTATTTAAAGTGAAGCTGATGTCACAAAATATACCTAATTAAATGTGATCTATATGAGAAATAACTGGAAAAGTAGCTGTTGCCAATCACTAAATAATGAAAACATAACAAAGTACATTGCAAGTTCTTTGGTGATTTGATGAAATGATCGTTGATCTTTATTTAACTATAATGTTGGACGATGATATGTTGGGTGAACCTAGCGAGGTGTTTCAAATCGACGATTCGAAGTTGAGTTTTTTTATATGCAGTGACCGCTGGTGCATTTTGTATTTTCTATGTCACGCGAGCCGCTGGTGCATTTTCCACTGTTTAGACTCATACTGTTCAAAATTTCATCTAGTTTTCGGTACCTAAATATTGGATCAACTTCTCATAAAACAAGCCATTTATAATAAATTGAGACTTTTATTTTGCAAACAACCTCATATTTTATCACGTATTTTTCCCAAAAAAGGTACAACTTGGCAACAATGGACATCATTTTTCTTATCTGTCAAGAAATGAACGTTATAAAATGGCCATTCAGAATTGTTTGTACTTTCAAATATTTATTATAAACGCAAAAACTTAGCTCTCATTGAAAATACGCAAAAAAAATGTATAACGAATTTCAAGAAGACTTTGAAAAATTACAACACAACACCTCTACACAGTTTACCAAGTAAATACCATCATTTACGTATGTATTGCGAACTGATATTTTAGCTAATAAGCTAATGTGTAATAACACGGCTGATTTTGAACCTTTTTTGCAAAAAACAAAGATTTTTCACAGTTTCACATCTTTCGTTAGTACTATACAGTGTATATTATATTTTTATAATTCAGATTAGAGTATCATTTTGTGCAACAAGCAAAAAAAAGCGTGTAAAACAGTATTCCATTCGAGAGTATTACCATCAAAAATGCAACTTTGAAGAATCCCTCAACAAGCACTAGAGACGTGGCTAGAGAAGTGCAAGTATCAAAAACTAAAGTGTGGCAAACGCTGCGTGCAGAGGGGCTGTATGCGTTTCACGTCCAACGTGTACAAGCCCTGCAACCTGACGATTATCCAACAAGAGTGCGGTTTTGTGAGTGGTTGTTGCAACAACATGACAATAATCCGGACTTTCTGAAGTGCATATTGGTGACAGACGAATCTGCGTTCACGCGTAATGGGGTGAATAACTTTCGCAAAACTCATGTTTGGTCAGTAAAAAATCCGCACGCTGTCCTTCGGGCACATTTTCAACAAACATTTTCGGTGAATGTTTGGGTTGGCATGGTGAACGGTATGCTCATTGGACCATTTATTCTCCCAAATCGTTTGGACGGGATGCAATACCTAGACTTTTTACGCAACATTTTGCCTTCCTTGTTAGAAGATGTGCCATTAAGTGTAAGACAATCAATGTGGTTTCTGCACGATGGTGCACCGCCCCATTTTAGACGCGAAGTGCGTGAGTTTTTGAATGAATTATTTCCGAATAGGTGGATCGGACGTAATGGACCCGTAGCGTGGCCTCCGCGATCTTCAGACTTAACACCATGTGATTTTTTTCTTTGGGGAGAAATGAAACGCTTAGTGTACAAAACTGAAGTGCATACGGTTGACGAACTTCGTCTCAGAATTGAACAAGCTGGTGCTTTCATTCGGGGGAGGGACTCCATTCTCAAACCCTGCACCGATCCTTGGCTACGTCGTGCACGCACCTTTGTTTTTTAATCAAACGGCGATAACTTCGAACAATACCTATATAGTACGTTCGGCAACGCCGTCATATTTGTTACCTCTGTTCGTGGTCTGCACCACCGCCGGTGTCTGCTCGGTAGCGCATCAGCTGATTTCATTTTCTGTTGGAGCGGTATGATTTCGGGCAGAGACGTACTTAGCCCTTCTCGTCAACTGGAGAGTGAGTACTTTTTCCTTTATTTTTTTTACTTGGTCGCCCTCGTTTCACTACACATTACCTTTGTTATTTCAAGGGTAGTTGTTTCTAAAAAGGAAAACCCCAACTTTGCGGACACCCTGTATACACAGTCTGCACCAACATTAGGCTCGACTTCCTCCGTAATATAATATGTTGAGCGCATATTTGGTATAAATGCCCTTCTTTAAGCTCAATCTACCTGCGTTCTTCCCGTAACGTCACGTCAGCAGAATGTTTCGCACTTCATCACCATGATTGATTGAATTCACAGCTACTGCACCAATAAGCGTTTTTACTAAAATGTTT